CCAACAGGAACCCGGTGAGTGGAGAGAGGGGGGGACAGTGTCGGTGTCACTACGTGTGTCACGGTGTGTGTCACGGTGTGTGTCACTCCGTGCGTCACGGTGTGTGTCATAGTGTCACGGTGTGTGTCACGGTGTGTCACTCCGTGTGTGTCACGGTGTCATTCCCTGTGTCACGGTGTGTGTCACTCCGTATGTCACGGTGTGTGTCAGTATCACGGTGTGTGTCACGGTGTGTGTCACTCCGTGTGTCACGGTGTCATTCCCTGTCACGGTGTGTGTCACGGTGTGTGTCACTCCGTGCGTCACGGTGTGTCTCATAGTGTCACGGTGTGTGTCACGGTGTGTGTCACTCCGTGTGTCACGGTGTGTGTCACTGCACGTGAACGTGTCCTGTGGAGCAGAGCGAGGGGAGAGGCAGAGAGAGATACATGATGTGAGCTGCAGTGTGGTGAGCGGGTGGGTGGGTGAGCGGGTGGGTGGGTGAGTCAGTGAGTCAGTGAGTGGGTGGGTGAGCTGTTGTCACCTGATGGTTGAACACAGTGGTGAGTGGGTGGGGGGTTGGTGGGTGGAAGCGTGAGTGAGTCAGTGGTGAGTGAGAGGGGGGGGTTGGTGAGTAGGAGTGAGTCAGTGAGTGAGTGAGTGGGTGAGCTGTTGTCACCTGGTGGCTGAACACAGTATGGTGGATGAGTCGAATCAGTGGGTGTCTGAGTCCTCAACACGTGTGGAGGATTTTTTCCCCTTTTTTCTGGCAACAAAACTGACACCTTTTGGTACTGGCAAAGGAGGTCCCAATGACGTGTGGAGGAATGAACGAGTGGAGTCCACAGGAATGGTAACCACTGGTAGTAGTAGTAGCGATAGAAGAGTGAGTGGCAAGGAGGTGAGCGAGTGACAAGGAGTGAATCGGTGTGTGCTGAGCGTCCATCCATCCACCTGACTTTGCTTAATGTTCTATCCTAGGGGCTGGCTGCCAGACTCATCCATCGATCATCATCCCCTCCTAACGATAATCTGCAAGTGGCCTCCGGGGTACAGGCGGCAAGAAAATATATACAGGGACTCCTCTACTGACGAACATATCTACTTACGATATTTCACAGATTCAAACATACCTGTGCTTATGTCCAGTTGCCTGTTCGGGCTGAGAGTTGTAAGTTAAACCGCCGAAAATAGATGGCGGTGGTGGCATCTAAATCTGTACAACATGAAAAACCAGTGGTACCTACATCTGCAGAACATGAAGAACCAGTGGCATCTACATCTGCAGAACATAAAGAACCAGTGGCATCTACACCTGTAGAACATGAAGAACCAGTGGCATCTACACCTGTAGAACATAAAGAACCAGTGGCATCTACACCTGTAAAACATGAAGAACCAGTGGCATCTACATCTGCAGAACATGAAGAACCAGTGGCATCTACATCTACAAAACGTGAAAAACCAGTGGCATCTACATCTACAGAACATAAAGAACCAGTGGCATCTACACCTGTAGAACATGAAGAACCAGTGGCATCTACATCTGCAGAACATAAAGAACCAGTGGCATTTACATCTACAGAACGTGAAGAACCAGTGGCATCTACATCTACAGAACGTGAAGAACCAGTGGCATCTACATCTGCAGAACGTGAAGAACCAGTGGCATCTACATCTATAGAACGTGAAGAACCAGTGGCATCTACATCTACAGAACATGAAGAACCAGTGGCATCTACATCTACAGAACGTGAAGAACCAGTGGCATCTACAGGATATTTTAAAGCCATTTAGTGTACATACCGCACAACATGTTTGAAATCGACAGGAGTAAAGTTTGACTTACGAACAAATCGACTTACGAACAGACCTCTGGAACCAAACTTGTTCGTAAGTAGAAGAGCCCCTATATGTGTGCGTTTCTATCTTTATGAGTTTTTTTCACATGCATATATATAAAACTCTGTGTGCGTATATGTATAAAACTAGACGAGTATTTGTTTTTTATGACTATACACACATATATACACACGCCTACCTAAATGTGTATAAACGTACGTAAAACTATTCGTCTGGGCAGACGTTGTGCGTGAGTGTGAACACGGCCCAATTCCACGGTGCAGTAACGGAATTGCAGGACCTGACGCTCGCTAAACGCATCGCGAGAGGTGTCTGTGTCTGTGTAATTCGCACGGCGGTTCGAATCCGGCACGCGCCACCCCGGTTAACACCGCGGGTGCATTCCCCGGCCGTAAAACGAGATGACTACGGCCCCACCCCGCTGCGCCTCACGGCGGCTGTGAAATATCCCCACCACCCCCCACCACCACCGCCTGTTCGTGGTGTCATTCAAAGCGAGCAAGGGGGACACCGTGTGCCTGCGTCGCACGGTCCGAATTCCCAAAATTACAACACAAATTGTTACATTTGGGAACACGCAGCGGAAACATCGCCCCCACCCCCCACACACTCCTACTGAGAAACTACGACAGGCTCCGTCTGTGAATCACAGCGGCTTCCATTTGCGATAATTGCCCCTGCGCTGGGAGAACACGATAGCCGCCGCTCCTAACCACGTGTTACGCAGTTGTATAGCAACGTATTGTTTTCCTGCAAAACAACGCGTTGCTTTCATAACGCGACTTGGATAGAACGCGATGGATGGATCAGGGGACACATTTGTTTTTATATAACGCAGATGCGAATTGGATATAACGTGATTGTGAGTGAACGGAATCTGCGTTGCGCGAGTAGGAATGAGCGTTTGGAATGGCCGCCACGACGTAGCACCATCATCGTCACACAAGGTAGCGGGATGCTGCTGGATGCTTCTGGATGCTACCCACGCGCGTCAGCCTTCGCTCGGCCCTGCGTACGCATCTCGCCGTGTTATCGCAGCCCCCCCCCTCCCCACATTATATATTATGTATTATAACGCGATTTGTCCACATAATGCGGTGTTCTTCAGGAAACGCAACTACCGCCGCGTTATTGGAGAACACGACTGTAGTGATAAATGTTCCTACAGGGTGGACTCGTGCGAGCCATAGAAGGGGCCCATTTCGTTGCTGAGTCTATCGCAGTGAACGCCGGATTGAAGCACACCCCTTGGAATGAAGGACCATTTTTACTCAAGTAGTGCGCTTATATCAGAAGCTGCCCCTCACTTTCTCCGTCCGCCGGTGTACTCTGAAGCATATGTTGCTCATATCAGGACTGTGCTGATGTTAGGTGGGCTCATAGCCAGCTTTCAATGTAGCCCTGGTTTTGTACCGCCATTCCGTCGCAGTGGAAGTGCCCCAAGTGACTCGATGAATCGTCACTCTCCAGGGACGCGATTTGGTTCCAGAATGTACGATTTCATAATACAGGTTTGTTTTTAGGTTAGATTGCGTAAATATATAAATGTGTCGTTATAATCTAGATTTGATTTGTCGTTATAACCACTACCACGTAAACATAACCTGCCAATCCGTTCCTAGTACAGCACACTGGTGTGTTTGAAAGCCAAGCCACAGTATTTACAATCTGAGTACGACGTTTCGACAGTAATTACGACTAGCTTCATCAGGCGACAGCCAGATTTGTGAAGAAGTCCTCCTGTTTCGTTCCTTAAATAGAGGGGTAGATGTGGTGACGTCACTTGTGTGCTCTTCTTGCGCGAAGTGCAAGAAGAGCACACATATAAATGACTTTGGGTTGTGTATATGGTAATCAACAAGCATTATGCATGCACATTATGCGAGCCAATTGTTCTTGTACTTCCTGTCGATTTGATGGCCTTCTACTGCAGCCCCCTGACAATACACAAATAGTGACAACACCACCCATCATCATGGTGCCGTCAACCCCCAATGGAATCCAATAATGTGTGGCGGCCCTCACACTAACGATGTCTCATCGGCGAAAGTGAACGGATCTCTCCCGTCCTCCTCCTCCTTCAAACGAGCCGTTGCGACCCAGAATACATTATCCTCACCCGGGACACCACATCCAGTGACGGCTAAGCAGGGAGGCCTTATAGCTCCCGGTGAGTGGTCTCTACGCCCGGCTACTTTTGGGTCAGCCCATGCGGTGCTTTGGCCTTGCCTGCCGCTGACCGCTTTTTGCCTCTGCGGACAACGCGAAGCTGCCCCCATCACCCGTCGCGCTACCGTCAACCGCTGGCGCATTCGCCACGGATGCCCTGACGTGCCCATGGGTGGCAGGATCTGGCTCATCTGCTCTCTCCCTTGCAGAAGTAGGTAGGGGGGTCAGTGCGGTTCACGTCGCTCGCAACTGGGCCAGGAGGTCCTGGTTCTCAGACCTCTTGGCGTTGATGGACAGCGACCCACGTCCTTTGTCTTCTTGTTCAGACCTTCCGTACCCTGGGTCTCACGGCATGGCCCGTTGAGAGGAGGTGGTTTCCACCACTTAGACCTCCAGCGAGACGTGCAGGATCTCCTCCTCAGATCCCTGAAGGCCGTCCACTTGCAGGATATTACGACTCTCGGTCAACTCTGCCTCTGGTGTCATTCCCGGGGTTTGGCTCCCGCCTCTTGCGGGGTTGACGCCACCCGCCAAGTCTCTTCGTGGGGGAGTGATTCAACGAGGCTCTCAAGGTGAGGGCGTCGGCTACCTCTGCCTTCCACGTGGATGCTGTGGGAAGGGCCTGTAGATTCCTCTCCTATATTGTCACGCTTGTTTGGGGCTATTAGCCAGGTGCGCCCCCCCCCCGCCCCTTGGCTAGGTCTGGGGTCGCTCCTCACTGGTGCTTGCATCTGCTGCTTAGACGCCTTGGCGGCTCCTCCGTTTGAGCCGCTCGCCACCTGCCCAGAGAGGTTTACCCTACCCTGTACAAAGACGGCGTTCTCGATCCGCTTTAGGGGCCTGCCGTTCGTTCTTTGAGCTGCCGCAAATCCGACCACCTCTTCTTGTTGGTGGCTTTCGTCGTGAGGGGCAAGGGGAGTTGGGGGGTGCGGGGTGGGGGGCCAGACTTCAAGCACAGTGGGTAGCCTTTTTTTGGCGGGGGGGGGGGGGGGGGGGCTCGGGAGTGCGTGCAGGGAGGCTTACGCCGTCGCTGGGACGGTACCCGCCGTCCCCGGTTTAACCCCTTCAAACTTCTGCCCGTGCAGTAGCCACCTGATGGGCCGGCAGCAGGGCTTGGGGACATTGATGGCTTCTCGACACCCCTGCGTGGCCCCGGAGAGAGCCTCTGTGGGAGGACAGCGGTCCTCTCAGCGGCCGCGTCGCAGTTAAACCACTCCCTGTTGCTCGTTTCTCATTCAGAGGCACGTCTTTGGCCCTCCTACTTTCCTTGGGGATTCGGCTATACGTCCATCTCCTCATCACAGAGGAATCGGACTGTGGCCACCGGGTCAAACAAGCTCGGACTTCGTGGTCACGCTCAGCCTGGTGTTCACCGGTGTCCGCCACCAGGGCACGCTCCCTCCTTTCGTTCCACTCCAAAACGTGTGGGGTTGTTCGTCTTGTCGTTTCAAGAAACCATTGGGGCCCGGATGGCTCCGGTTTGAGTGTTTGTTGCGCAGTTCCCGGTGAGGCTGTTTCACGTTCCCCCGGGTTTTGCTTGTTTTGCTCCGTAAAGTCACTGCGTTGGTTGTGCGTTGTGTGTGTGTCCAGGCTCACGTGATATAGTTTGGCTTGCACCTGCCGTTCGTCACTGTAGAATGTCTGCCCGGGGAGACGGAATGTCCACCGCGGACCATGGCGGTGGCCACCGGTGGACAGCAAGCTTCACGTGATTGTAAATGTTGCCGCTCGGCTCTCCAACACGCCGGTGTGCTGTGCTAGTAACGAATTGGCCACGTTTTGTTAACGTGACAAACCTTACTAGTTGGCTGTGTTGGGTGGTGGCGGGTTTAATGACACATTTATATATTTACGCGATCTAACCCAAAAAAAACCTGGATGATATTGCTCGCGAAAGCCTACTGCTACTACGTGTTAAACTGAACGTGAGAACTGTGAAGCCTCCTTTGGATTTTCCGCCTCCCTTGTCCGCGTCGCTTTGCTATATTTTATTTCAGCCTAAACATCCACTGCACGACATCGGCGTCAATCGCAAACATTCGAGTCTTGGGCGCACGACGCGTCTCGTGTGGTGAGCCCGAGAACCGCCTTCGTTCCCCGACTCGTCACGGCCGTGGCGGGTGAAGGTTATTTGTGTAGTACGCCTTCCGTGTCTGTAACGGGTGTCAACTGTGGTTGCCATTGGCCCTGGGGCAAGGAATTAAATGCCCTCCCCCAGCCCCTCCGATCAATTGTCCCTCCCAGTACAGGCGTCAGGTCCACCGTGTAATTTTGTCAGCCATGTTCCACGCGAGTCGGCGATGCCCGGTAAATATTTCCGCGCCTGGCACGCGACATGCACTTTTACCTCTCAGCTACAGTATGCTTCTACTAGCCACGTGCCACCCTACTCCAGACTACCAGCGGCCGGGGACGATATTTCCACACCCGGCACACCACATCCTGGATTACGCCTCGCTACGGGTATGCGGGCTACCTAGTCACGTGCCATCCTACTGCAGTCTACGTGGCGACCCCGAAATTACTTCTCGGCGAGAACGCAGGGCCCCTTGGTCGGGCCTTAAGGCAGGGCGGGGCGTGTGTCGTTGTCAGCACCGCCGCCGCCGCCGCCGCCGCCAGGATTGACGCGCCGGCCCGCCGCCTTGCGGGCGCAGCAGGCGGGCACGAGCGGGGCGCACGCGCCCAGCCGCCAGGCGCACCACCCGGGGCACGCGCAGCAGCAGCACCACAGCGCCAGCCCCAGCAGCAGCGCGGAGAGGAGAGCCGCCGCCACGCCGGGCCCCACCACGGAGCCGCGGGCCGGGCGAGGTGGCTCGGGGCCACCGCCCGGAGGAAGAGGGGGACGAGCCGGGCCCCCGTCCGGAGTGAGCGCGGCGCCCGGCACGGCCACCGCCACGGAGCCTGCGGCGCACCCCCCACACCCCCCACACCCCCCACACCCCCAGACGCACGCAAGGGACAGAGTGCGGCGTTTAGACAGCGCCCTCGGAGCACTTCTTCTGTTGGGCGAGGCTCGTGGTGATGTGGAGCGCCGGCTTGGAGTTTACGTGGGGGTGGCTGAGCCAGGTAATTGATCTCGTCAAGGAGTGGTGGAGTGATTGAGTGGTGGAGTGGTGGTGCATCGCTGTGATGATGCCTCCTTCGTGTTTGTCAATTGGACAATGAGTGCTCATAGCACTTACACAGTACCAAGAGCATACGTACAGCACATACAGCATATGTGTTTAGGGGCACCTGGTGGGGGGGGGGGTTAGGGGCACCTGGTGGGGGGGGGGTTAGGGGCACCTGGTGGAGGGGTTTTGGGTTACCTGGTGGGGGGGGTTAGGAGTACCTGGTGGGGGGTGGGGTTACCTGGCTGGGTCGCGAGGTTTCCTGGGGGCTCGCGAGGCTCCCGGCTGGGTCGGAACAGCACCCCGCATGCCGGGGTGGGGAAGGGCCCCGGGGCCCTCAGGGAGGCGTTGGGGGCGGCCCCGTCAGGCCCCGCTGTGGGCAGCCACCCTGCGGGGGGCACGGGAGCGGCGGGACCGGGGAGGCACATCGATGAGCGGCGACATCTCAAGAGCGGCATGGCACGGGAATAATTCCCACGCAGCCCACTCGTCACGACACGCGGTGTTAGCGTCCTTTTTGCGTGCCGTCATTGGTGACCAGGCTGGGATCATCGATCATCCACTCATCCACTCATCGACTCATTCACTCATCGACTCATCGACTCATCCACTCATCGACTCAACTCCCCACACATGAGGAGCCTCGTTCACCACAGGGTGGGGCTGTCAACCTGAATTTGAAGCCAAGAATCTCGGCGGAGCCAACTCAGTGGTACGAGCCGTTCGGGCACCTCCGAGTCGGTCCTGGTGCCCGGTGTCTGTGCGAGCGTGTCTCTGTGTGTCTCTGCATGTGCCGTGTCTCTGTACGCTTTGTGTCTCTGTGCGTGCCGTGTCTCTGTGTGTCTCTGCTCCCCCTCCCCCTTGTCACCGGCGCACGCGGGCGGCAGGATGTGCGTCTCGTCCGACTCGTCGCCGCAGTTGTCGAGGCCGCGCGCGTCGCACACGAGGCTCCAGGGGACGCAGCGCGCGTTGCGGCAGCGGAAGTAGCGGCTCGTGCACGGGTCGGGCCCGCACGTGGCGCCGCTGCTGCCGTTCGACTCTGCGTGGACGACGACACCGCACGCGGACTCGTCACGGGGGATGGGGGGGTTGAGTGGGGGGGGTTGAATGGGGGGGGGGCCCGGCGTGCCGTGACCCCCACGACTTGGGGAGGTGGCGGCGGGGGGGGGGGTGACGAGGGAGAGGAGATGAAATCAAATAATCTGGAGGCCACTCACGACGAGGCAAGAGGAACAAGGAATTGAAGGGAGTGGTGGGGGGGTGCCGATTGTCGAGCAGTGGCAGGCTGACAGCAGCGACAACAGCCTGGCATAGAGGCCCATAGACTCGCATAGAGGCCCATAGACTCGCATAGAGGCCCATAGACTCACATAGAGGCCCACAGCCTGGCATAGAGGCCCATAGACTCGCATAGAGGCCCACAGACTCACACAGAGATTCGTAGACTCCTAGAGACTCGAAGACTCGCATGGAGACCCCCATAGGCTCACATAGAGACCCGAAGACACACATAGATTCATAGACCCACATATAAACCCGTAGAATCACATAGCGACCCGTAGACTCACCAAGAAAAGCAAGAGATGGAAGAGAGGGGGGGGGGCGGTGGGGGGAGGACTTTGCTCAGCGATGGAAAGTTACCGGTATGACAACAACAATAACAACAACAACAATTGTGTGCCAGACACATTGAACGGACAAGGTCAGGAGGGGCAGGGGGTTAGGTGTGGGTGTGTGTGGGGGGGGTGTGTGGGGATGAGTGTGTGTGGGGGGGTGTATGTGTGGGGGTGTGTGTGGGGGGGAGTGTGTTGGGTGTGTGTGGGGGTGTGTGTGTGGGGGGGTGTGTATGGGGGGTGTGTGTGTGATGTGGGGTGTGTGTGGGGGGTGTGTGTGTGATGTGGGGTGTGTATGGGGGGTGTGTGTGGGGTGTGTGTATGTGGGGTGTGTGTGTGTGTGGGGGGTGTGTGGGGGGGTGTGTGTGGGGTGTGTGTGTGTGTGATGTGTGTGGGGTGTGTGTGGGGGGTGTGTGTGTGGGGTGTGTGTGGGTGTGTGTGTGTGATGTGGGGTGTGTGTGTGATGTGGGGTGTGTATGGGGGGGTGTGTGTGGGGTGTGTGTGTGGGGGGTGTGTGTGATGTGGGGTCTGTGTGTGATGTGGGGTGTGTATGGGGGGTGTGTGTGTGGGGTGTGTGTGTGTGTGGGGTGTGTGTGTGTGTGGGGTGTGTGTGTGTGTGGGGTGTGTGTGTGTGATGTGGGGTGTGTGTGGGGGGGGTGTGTGTGGGGTGTGTGTGTGGGGTGTGTGTGTGTGTGGGGTGTGTGTGGGGTGTGTGTGTGTGTGGGGTGTGTGTGTGATGTGGGGTGTGTGTGTGATGTGGGGTGTGTATGGGGGGTGTGTGTGGGGTGTGTGTGTGGGTGTGTGTGTAATGTGGGGTGTGTGTGTGATGTGGGGTGTGTATGGGGGGTGTGTGTGTGGGGTGTGTGTGTGGGGTGTGTGTGGGGTGTGTGTGTGTGTGTGTGGTGTGTGTGTGGGGTGTGTGTGTGTGGGGTGTGTGTGTGATGTGGGGTGTGTGTGGGGTGTGTGTGTGGGGTGTGTGTGTGGGGTGTGTGTGTGATGTGGGGTGTGTGTGGGGGAGTGTGTGGGGGGTGTGTGTGTGATGTGGGGTGTGTATGGGGGGTGTGTGTGGGGTGTGTGTGTGGGGTGTGTGTGGGGTGTGTGTGGGGTGTGTGTGTGGGGTGTGTGTGTGTGGGGTGTGTGTGGGGAGTGTGGTTGGGGTGTGTGTGTGATGTGGGGAGTGTGTGGGGGGTGTGTGTGTGTGTGGGGTGTGTGTGTGTGGGGTGTGTGTGGGGGGTGTGTGTGTGATGTGGGGTGTGTGATGTGGGGTGTGTGTGGGGGGTGTGTGTGTGGGGGGTGTGCGTGTGTGGGGTGTGCGTGTGTGGGGTGTGTGTGTGTGTGGGGTGTGTGTGTGATGTGGGGTGTGTGTGGGGGGGGTGTGTGTGTGGGGTGTGTGTGATGTGGGGTGTGTGTGATGGGGGGTGTGTGTGGGGTGTGTGTGTGATGGGGTGTGTGTGTGATGTGGGGTGTGTGTGGGGGAGGGTGTGTGTGTGGGGTGTGTGTGATGTGGGGTGTGTGTGATGGGGGGTGTGTGTGGGGTGTGTGTGTGATGTGGGGTCTGTGTGTACGAGGCCCAGCCGATCACCGAGCGTGAAGGCCGAGAAGTCGCCCACGAAGTCGACGCGGGGCAGCTTGCCGCGCGTCACGAGCCTCAGCGTGAGCGCCCGGCCGTGCGACACCACGGCCTCCGGGATGCTCTTGCCGCACAGCGGGGGGCCCAGCGACGGGGCGCCCCGGCCGACGCCGTCGTAGAACTGCAGGTAGGAGCCGGCGTGGCAGGGGTCCTCCGAGGCTCCGGGGGCGTGCGGGGCGTCGAGCGCCGGGGCGTTGGGCGGCGGCGGCGGCGAGAGGCTCGCCCCGGGCGCCGGGGTCACGCGGAGGAGGCTGTAGACGAGGAAGAATCGGAACTGGAAGATGAGGCGCTGGTCGGGCCCGGCCGCCCGCACGCTCAGCCAGCAGTCGGTGTCGGCGCCCACGAAGTAGAAGCGGCGCGACTCGCGGTGCGAGCTCAGCACCAGCCCCTCGGCGGTCAGCGAGCGGCCGCACACCTCCACCAGGTGCGCTGCGAGAGCGGTGGAGGGAGGGGAGGGGGGTAGGGCCACGTGGTCCTTGTGACGTCGTTCGTAGCGGCGGTCCCCAACCTAGATTTGAAGCTTTCGTGACTGCAAGGATTCAAACTCTTAGGTTCTTTCGGTAAAGTCACGTAGGTAAAAAAAGAATAATAATAAAATAAAATTATATTAAATGAAAATAACTCAATTAAATCACGACGTTTCGGAAGCAACACCAGCCTCCGTCATCAGGTGGGACCTTTTTGGCACCAGGGACCGGCTTCGTGGAAGACAGTTTTTTTCACGGACGGGGGGTGGGGGGTCATCATTGGGTCTTTCCTGATTTTCAAAGAAGCTCTCCGGCGACGTTTGTTTTTACTCATTGTGGCCAGGGTTGGCTTGTGTTTGTTTTTACTCATTGTGGCCAGGGTTGGCTTGTGTTTGTTTTTACTCATTGTGGCCAGGGTTGGCTTGTGTTTGTTTTTACTCATTGTGGCCAGGGTTGGCTTGTGTTTGTTTTTACTCATTGTGGCCAGGATTGGCTTGTGTTTGTTTTTACTCATTGTGGCCAGGGTTGGCTTGTGTTTGTTTTTACTCATTGTGGCCAGGGTTGGCTTGTGTTTGTTTTTACTCATTGTGGCCAGGGTTGGCTTGTGTTTGTTTTTACTCATTGTGGCCAGGGTTGGCTTGTGTTTGTTTTACTCATTGTGGCCAGGGTTGGCTTGTGTTTGTTTTTACTCATTGTGGCCAGGGTTGGCTTGTGTTTGTTTTACTCATTGTGGCCAGGGTTGGCTTGTGTTTGTTTTTACTCATTGTGGCCAGGGTTGGCTTGTGTTTGTTTTTACTCATTGTGGGCAGGGTTGGCTTGTGTTTGTTTTTACTCATTGTGGGCAGGGTTGGCTTGTGTTTGTTTTTACTCATTGTGGCCAGGGTTGGCTTGTGTTTGTTTTTAAATCCTTTATATTAAGTTCGCTTGCTTGCTTGCGTGCTTGCGTGCTTGCTTGCTTGCTTACGACCGTGCAAACATTTCGGTCGTTTTTTAACCCACTTCCCGTGATCCAATCAAGCTGACATTTTGCACATAGACTCATTGTGCGAGACAATTAATGTTCGTGAAAAAAAAATTCCGAAATTTTACACTGTTTAGGGAAAACAAATTAAATATTTAATTACCAATTGTTTAATACTGCAGACAATCATCTGACCCATAGGTGGCAGCCATCTCAAGCCAGAGGACGAGAGGACTCTAGCCGCCACGCATATAAAGGATTTAGAGTGAAAAACTTTGTTTTTATGGGTTATACTTATTACTCATTGTGGCCAGGGTTGGCTTGTGTTTGTTTTTACTCATTGTGGCCAGGGTTGGCTTGTGTTTGTTTTTACTCATTGTGGCCAGGGTTGGCTTGTGTTTGTTTTTACTCATTGTGGCTCGGGGTTAGCTTGTGTTTGTTTTTACTCATTGTGGCCAGGGTTGGCTTGTGTTTGTTTTTACTCATTGTGGCTAGGGGTTAGCAGCTTGTGGGCTCACCAAAGCCGTGACTGAAACAAGTGCGCAGTGCGGGACGGAAGTGGTGAATAATAAAACAATGGGGGCGGGCCACGCGCGGACTCACCGCTCTCACCTCCTGCTGCTGTGCGGCCCGGTTCCTAACAGGGGGTTGGGGACCCCTGGTTCATAGGAGTACTGGGGGGGAGGGTTGCTGGTGGGGAGGATCGGGGAACCTGGTGGGGGTCCGGGCTAACTGGTAGGGGGTGAGGGATGCGAGGACAAGGGGGTGGGGCCACGCATCCCGTTGCTTTGCGGGGTCCGCGGTTCAGAACATTTTCCACACATTTGGAAAATGTGTGCAGAGAGTCTTCGTTTAAGGCGCTGGCGGTTGATGCGTTAAGCGAAAACAATTTCCCAGTAAAAAATGTAGCAACAATATCGTTCAATCTTGATTGGAAGCTTTCGTGACTGCAAGAATCCATACTCTTTGGTTCTTTTGGTAAAGTCACGTAGGTAGAAAATAAAATAAATCACGACGTTTTGGGCGCAACACAAGCATCCATCATCAGGTGGGAAAGCATGGTCTACTGCTGAGGCAGACTTTTAAAAGATTTGAAATGGGTGTAGCTCAAAGGAGCTACACCTAATGATGGACGCTTGTGTTGGGCCCGAAACGTCGTGATTTATTTAATTTTATACCTACGTGACTTTACCGAAAGAACCAAAGAGTAACAATAACGTTGGGCGAGATGCGATGCACGACTACACACACGCAGCGGGATGGCGTGGACAAATAACGAGGATGCGTCGCCGCGTTACTGTATCACTCCGCACAATGTATCACTCCGCTCAGCCGCGCAACTCAAGAAAATAGTTCCTCGTCGGCCGCTCAGAGAGCGCGTTGTAACGGTGTGCAATCCGCGTTATAAAGGAACGCGTTCCACGTTATAACGGTGAGCGTTCTACAGTGTAATGCGCGCCTTCCGCGCTATAACAGGAACCTGTGTTATAACAGGAGCCTTCCGTGTTATGACAGGAACCTGCGTTATAACAGGAGCCTTCCGTGTTATAACAGACACGGTCTACTTTATAACAGGCGCCTTCCGCGTTATAACGGGCGCGTTCTGCTTTGTTGGGGAGGGGGGGGGCTGAGTGTGGGAGTCGCTTAGAGGACGAGGGACCACGCCCAGAGGAATATGGAGTGGGGGGGGGGGCTCCTGATGGACAAGGGGGTAGAGTGTAGGGGATGGGGGGAGGGGCTGATCGACAAGGGGGTAGAGTGTAGGGGATGGGGGAGGCAGTTGATGGACAAGGGGGTAGAGTGTAGGGGATGGGGGGAGGGGCTAATGGACAAGGGGGTAGAGTGTAGGGGATGGGGGGGGCAGCTGATGGACAAGGGGGTAGAGTGTAGGGGATGGGGGGAGGGGCTGATGGACAAGGGGGTAGAGTGTAGGGGATGGGGGGAGGGGCTGATGGACAAGGGGGTAGAGTGTAGGGGATGGGGGGGGCAGCTGATGGACAAGGGGGTGGAGTGTAGGGGATGGGGGGGAGGGGCTGGTGGACAAGGGGGTAGAGTGTAGGGGGTGGGGGGGAGGGGCTGGTGGACAAGGGGGTAGAGTGTAGGGGATGGAGGGAGGGGCTGATGGACAAGGGGGTAGAGTGTAGGGGGTGGGGGGGGACCCCCAGTGGAGAGGGAAGCTAATGTGGGAGCAGGAGAGAAAGGAGGAGGAGGAGGTGGAGGAGCTCCTGGGGAAGAGGTCTCTTTGTCGGGATCCGCGTGCGTGCTCCACGCAGTGTCCGTGTTGGTGTCGCCTGCAACAATAGAGTTCCCTAGAACCATAGAGTTCCCTAGAACAATAGAGTTCCCTAGAACAATAGAGTTCCCTAGAACAATAGAGTTCCCTAGAACAATAGTGTTCCGTAGAACAATGGAGTTCCCTAGAACAGTAGAGTTCCTTAGAACAATAGAGTTCCCTAGAACAATAGAGTTCCCTAGAACAGTAGAGTTCCCTAGAACAATAGAGTTCCCTAGAACAATAGAGTTCCCTAGAACAGTAGAGTTCCCTAGAACAATAGAGTTCCCTAGAACAATAGAGTTCCCTAGAACAATAGAGTTCCCTCGAACAATATAGCTCCCTAGAACAATAGAGTTCCCTAGAACAATAGAGTTCCCTAGAACAATAGAGTTCCCTAGAACAGTAGAGTTCCCTAGAACAGTAGAGTTCCCTAGAACAGTAGAGTTCCCTAGAACAGTAGAGTTCCCTAGAACAATAGAGTTCCCTAGAACAATAGAGTTCCCTAGAACAATAGAGTTCCCTAGAACAATAGAGTTCCCTAGAACAGTAGAGTTCCCTAGAACAGTAGAGTTCCCTAGAACAATAGAGTTCCCTAGAACAGTAGAGTTTCCTAGAACAATAGAGTTCCCTCGAACAATAGAGTTCCCTAGAACAATAGAGTTCCCTAGAACAATAGAGTTCCCTAGAACAATAGAGTTCCCTAGAACAGTAGAGTTCCCTAGAACAGTAGAGTTCCCTAGAACAGTAGAGTTCCCTAGAACAGTAGAGTTCCCTAGAACAGTAGAGTTCCCTAGAACAGTAGAGTTCCCTAGAACAATAGAGTTCCCTAGAACAATAGAGTTCCCTAGAACAATAGAGTTCCCTAGAACAGTAGAGTTCCCTAGAACAATAGAGTTCCCTAGAACAGTAAAGATCCCTAGAACAATAGAGTTCCCTCGAACAATAGAGTTCCCTAGAACAATAGAGTTCCCTAGAACAATAGAGTTCCCTCGAACAATAGAGTTCCCTAGAACAATAGAGTTCCCTAGAACAGTAGAGTTCCCTAGAACAATAGAGTTCCCTAGAACAGTAAAGATCCCTAGAACAATAGAGTTCCCTCGAACAATAGAGTTCCCTAGAACAATAGAGTTCCCTAGAACAATAGAGTTCCCTCGAACAATAGAGGAGTTCCCCCGGCAGGACAACTCGTGCGGCGAACTCCGTTTCAAATGCACACCTCAAATCGCTACTCGGTTGCGAGTGCACGCACGACAACCATCGTCCGCCGCGATTCCGCGAGCGCTGTTGGGTCAGCAGCCACCTTGAGAGCGCGAGAGAGCCATGAGCCCACCTCTACAGCTACGGCGGGGGCCTTCATCGCAAGGCCCGCGGGTCGCTGCCGGCCGCTGGTGGGCCTTTAGTGCGGCCCCTTACGATACACAAGTGGTGAAAACACCCCACGTCGTCATCGTGCTGCTGTTAAACTCGAACAATGGTTTCACATAATGTGTGAAGGGAACGGAAAACGCAGACGAGGTGAGCTTTGAGAGGAACGGAAGGAGGTTAAGAAGGGGGGCTGCTTCACGTACAGGGGCAGTGCTGAGTCTATGGGCAGTGTTGAGCCTATGGTAGTGTTGAGTCTATGGTGCAGTGCTGAGTCTATGGTAGTGTTGAGTCTATGGTGCAGTGCTGAGTCTATGGTAGTGTTGAGTCTATGGGCAGTGTTGAGTCTATGGGTAGTGTTGAG